AATGATATATGATATTGGGGAAAAGAATGAGATCACCTCACACCCATTCGCCATCGGGGGGATACGATTGAAGCCATGTCTGAAAAAAAGTTTTGATGCCTCGTTTCTACTGGAATTGCAATACTTGAAATGTGCTCATCATCTGATTCCACAGATCATCCCATGAACAACAAACTGGCTAGAGCAGTCGAAGTTCGGCAGCAGAGAAACATTTTGGAGAAGAGAGGTGTCCCCGGCTAGGCTCAATTGGTTAGAGTCTACTGATAACGTGTTGTAACCTATTAACTCAAGCATGATTGATCAAAGGAACTGCTGAAAAAGAAACTAAGATACAAAGAGAGAAAGTGATAGACAAGGCAGGATGATCTCTTCTTTATTCATTAATTTGTGTATTTCATACAACCATAAACACATCTATATATAATATACAAATATAACGGAAGACATAATGGAGACATAAATACAGAACCGTTACAACTGTTATATAATCTATAATAATGTCCACATAAAGATATATTTATAACAATTAACTCATTTTTCATTATCTACCATCTTTTCCTTTTTAATATACCAACCAAAACGCTAATAGGAATCCAATAAAAAATTCATTATTCTTACTCATAAACACTTTGTCAAAATCTTTCCCTACACTCAAATCTTTATTAAATTACTAAATCAAAGCTCCCCTAATCTTTTAGGCAAGGTTAAGGAAATCAATTTCAGATATGAGGCTTATAATGTGGTTTCATAATAACAAAAATACAGTTAAAAAGGCTGAACATCGCTAACAAAGGATAAATCAATTATGGTATGAATAGGTTATTTGGCTAGTGAGGCTAAAGGTCAAAGATGGCCTTAATCATATTAAAAATCATGCATGCATCAAATTAGCTTTAAATAGAATCAAGGCAAGTTCTAGAGATACAAATCTATGGAAGATATCGCACAAGAAAAAAATAATTGGACTGAAGTGTCAAAGGCTCAAAATCTCACAGGTTCATGCTTGCTTAGTTTAGCCACCACCATATCAAACTAAATACTAAACTAAATAATCATAATATGCAAGACCAATTATTTAATTATGTTATGAATTTTAGTAAAAAAAAATATATTATATTTTTTGAAAAATTTATTTGTAAACTTTTTTGAAGGGAAGAATTAAATATTGAATAATAGTTAAATCCCCTCCCCACACTTATTCTTAACATTGTCTCAAATGTTAAATAGAATTTAAAATTAAGGCACGTAAACAATAAAGAATGGAACAAACTCCCCTTGTCATAAGTAGCATGTCATTGGTTGGAAATCATCTCTTTTCAATCTTCATAAACTGGGCACTGCAGACTAATTTCTTCAAAATTATATGCCTGAAAACCATCATAAAATGACTTTAAACGATGTCCATTAACTTTAAAAAATGTTCCAGTCTCTAAACTATGTATTTCAACTGCACCATGAGGAAAAACATTAGTGACAACAAAAGGTCCTACCCATCTAGAATGCAATTTACCAGGAAAAAGTTTCAATCTAGAATGATAAAGTAAACCTTTCTGAACAATAGCAAATTTCTTCCTAGAAATCTTTCGATCATGAAATGCTTTTGTTTTTTCCTTGTAAATTCTAGAGCTTTCATATGCATCATTACGAATTTCATCAAGCTCTTGCAGCTGCAACTTTCTCAACTCACCAGATGCATCCATCCTCATGTTACATTGCTTAACAGCCCAATAAGCCTTGTGTTCCCACGAAGATGACACGGTTTACCAAATACCAAATGATAAGGAGACATACCTATTTGAGTTTTGTAGGCTGTTCGATAAGCCCATAAAGCATCATCAAGTCGTGTACTCCAATCTTTCCTGTTCGGGTTAACCGTCTTCTCTAGTATGGACTTAATTTCTTTGTTTGAGATTTCTTCCTGTCCATTGCTTTGTGGATGGTAACCTGTAGAAACACGGTGAGTAACATCATATTTTTTTTATCAATGCTTCCACCATTCTGTTGCAAAAATGAGTTCCACGATCGCTTATTATTGCTCTTGGCATCCCAAACCTGGTAAAAATATTAGATTTAACGAACTCAACAACAACGTTAGCACAATCAGTCCGGGTAGCCTTAGCTTCAACCCACTTTGACACATAATCCACAGCAAGAATAATGTAAACATTATTGTAAGAAGAAGGAAAAGGACCCATGAAATCAATACCCCAAACGTCACAAATTTCACAAACAAGTATAGGAGTAGGTGGCATTTGATCCCTATAACTCAAATTTCCAGTTTTTTGACATTGCGCACATGTTTTGCAAAACATATAACAATCACGGAACAAAGATGGCCAAAATAAACTACATTCCAACACTTTACGAGCAGTTCTTTTTGGACCAAAATGTCCTCCACATGCATATGAATGACAAAAATTCAAAATGGAAGGAATTTCTTCTTGAGATACACACCTTCGGATTATTTTATCAGAACAATGCTTCCACAAATAAGGGTCATCCCAAACATAGTATTTAGCATCACTCTTTATTTTATCTTTTTGAGATTTAGATAAATCAACTAGTAATGTTCTAATAACTAAGTAATTCACAATATCAGCATACCAGGGAATCGTCTTTTGAATAGAAAAAAAGATTTCATCAGGAAAATCATCTTGCAATGGCGAAGGTTTTTCACTTGTAATTATCCTACTAGATGATTAGCAACTAAATTTTCTGCACCCTTTTTATCTCGTATCTCCAGGTTAAACTCTTGTAGTAAGAGCATCCACCGAAAGAGTCTGGGCTTAGCTTCTTTATTTGAAAGCAAGTACTTAAGAGCTGCATGGTCAGAATAAACAATCACTTTAGTACCAAGCAAATATGAACGGAATTTTTCTAAAGCAAATACAATAGCTAAAAGTTATTTTTCTGTTGTGGTATAATTGCTTTGTGCACTATCAAGTGTTTTTGAAGCATAATAAATAACATGTGAAGCTCTTCCAACTTTTTGTCCTAGTACAGCGCCAACTGCATGATTGCTGGCATCACACATAAGTTCGAATGGAAGATCCCAATTCGGTGGCTGAATTATTGGTGCAGATGTTAACATATCTTTTAGCGTATCAAATGAATCTTTGCATGCTTCATCGAACTCAAATGCCACATCTTTTTGCAACAATCGACACAATGGATTGCTAATCTTTTGAAAAATCCTTCATAAATCTCCTGTAGAAACCTGCATGACCAAGAAAAGAACGAACCTCCCGCACACTAGCAGGGTAAGGCAAAGATTTAATAACTTCTACCTTAGCTCTATCTACTTCAGTCCCTTTAGAAGATACCACATGACTCAAAATAATACCCTGATCAACCATGAAGTGACATTTTTCAAAATTTAAAATAAGGTTTTTTTCAATGCATCGTTCAAGCACTTTTGTGAGGTTAGCTAAACAGGCATCAAAAGAATCACCATAGCTGTAAAGTCATCCATGAATACCTCTATAAAAATCTCTACAAAATCTGAAAAGATACTAACCATACACCTTTGAAATGTAGCAGGAGCATTGCAAAGACCAAAGGGCATCCACCGAAATGCAAAGGTGCCAAATGGGCAGATAAAGGTCGTTTTTTCTTGGTTAGGTGCCAAATGGGCAGGTAAAGGTCGTTTTTTCTTGGTTAGGTGCCAAATGGGCAGGTAAAGGTCGTTTTTTCTTGGTTTCCAGATGCAACTGGAATTTGATGAAAACCTGAAAAACCATCCAGGCAACAATAATGGGAACGACCTGCTAAACGTTCAAGCATTTGATCAATAAAATGGAGTGGGAAATGATCTTTTCTAGTTGATGCATTTAATTTTCTGTAATCTACACACATACACCACCCATTTTGAATACGAGTGGGCACCAACTCACCATTATCATTTTCTATCACTGTTATACCTGTTTTCTTTGGGACAACGTGCACAGGACTTACCCATTTGCTATCTGAGATTGGATAGATTATACCTGCATCAAGAAGTTTCAATATTTCTTTTTAACCACTTCCATCATGGGTGGGTTCAATTGGCGTTGGGCCTGTTTAGAAGGCTTACACTCATCTTCCAACAATATCCGGTGCATACAAGTAGAACGGCTCAATCCCTTTATGTCAGCTATAGTCCAACCTATAGCTTGCTTATATTCCCTAAGCACTCGAACCAATTTTTCTTCTTCCAATGTAGATAGTTTTTTGGAGATTAGCACGGGAAGAGTCTCTTCATCCCCTAAAAATGCATACTTTAAATGATCCGGCAATGGTTTCAGCTCTATCTTCGGAGCTTGAACAACAGAAGGAAGGAGTTTTGTGTCAGATATAGGCAACTCAATATAATAAGCATTATATTTCATTGGCTTAAGTGACTCCAACTCATGAACAATATCTTGCAAATCAAAAATCAAAGAAAACTTATTCATGATTTTCTTCAACCCAGCAGGGGTAAGATTCGGGTTTAGTGCAACCTCTAAGGCATTATTATCAGTCAAATAAGAAATTTTCTGCAGAAAAGGGTCAACAACATCTACTAGAGAAACATACGACACATCATCAGGATATTTCATAGCATTATAAATGTTAAACTTAATGAGTTTACCATCAAATTCCATTGTGAGTGTACCATCATGCACATCAATTTTAGTTCTAGATGTTTTCAAAAATGGCATTCCTAATAAGATTAATGAAGAATGAGTAGAATTATCTTCTTCCATATCTAACACATAAAAATCAGCAGGAAAAATCAACCCATCAACTTGCACTAAAACATCTTCTAAAACCCCCACAGGATAAACATTAGATCTATTAGCAAGTTGAACAATTACACCAGTTTCTTTTACGGAACCAATATTTAAAGATGAATAAATAGATAAAGGCATCACATTAATTGAAGCTCCTAGATCTAACATTGCTCTTTCAACATTAACATTTCCAATTTTGCAATGGATAGTAAACATACCAGGATCTTTGCATTTAGGAGGCAACTTCTTTTATAGAACAGCTGAAACATTTTCCCCCATGCTTACCATTTCATTGCCATTCAACTTTCTTTTATTTGTGCACAACTCTTTAAGAAATTTGGCATATCGAGGAATTTGTTTAATAGCATCAAGTAAAGAAATATTTACCTCAACCTTTCGAAATGTGTCAAGTATTTCTTTTTGTTCTTCATCCTTTTTTGATTTTGCTAATCTACCAGGAAAAAGGGGAGGAATTACCACAGCCCCCGGATGTTCTTTGACAAGCTTTTGATCATTTTGGGGTGGATGGACTTCTTTTTCCTTTTCTTCATCTCGGTTGTGTATGCTTTTCACTTGAGTAGGTTCTTGTAGCTCTTTCCCACTTCTCAAGGTAATTGCACTTGCATTTTGCTTTGGATTTACAACAGTTTGTGAGGGAAATTTACCTTGAGACTCCAATCTACTCACGGTTGATGCTAATTGGCTCATTTGACTTTCCAAATGTTGAATACTTGTTCTTGTTTCTTGCTGAAATTGTTGTGTGTTAGTAGCAAGTGATTTAACAATATCTTCCAGTGACATACCTGAATTAGAAGATGATTGTTGTGAAGATGAAGGTTGTTGAATTAGTTGTCTAGGTTGAAACTGTGGAAATTGTGGACGCGGCTTGTAGCTGAAATTTGGATGATCCCTCCATCCTAGGTTATATGTATTTGAGTAGGGATCATAATTTCTTTTTGGTTGGCCTGGAAACCCTCCAATTGCATTAGCTTGCTCACACGAATCGTATTGAAGTGTTGGGCACATGTCAATTTGGTGTCCAGTAGCAGCACATATCCCACAAGCTTTTACTTGCTGCATATTTCCTACAGCTAACTGTTAAACAAGAGTAGTTAAATGAGATAGTTTATTCTCAATGGAAGAAATGTTTATCTCGTTCACTCTTCTAGAAGACGTGTCCTGTCTGCATCTAAATTATTGTGAATTGGCAGCCATTATTGATATTAACTCTCTAGCTTCTTGGGGGGTTTTATTCACTATAGCCCCTCTGCTAGCTGCATCCAACATCTTCCTCTCCATGGGAAGCAACCCTTCATAGAAATATTGAATGAGGAGTTGTTCAGAAACTCCATGTTGGGGGCAACTTGCACACAATTGCTTGAAGCGTTCCCAATACTCGTGGACAGTCTCTATGTCTCTTTGCTTGATGCCACATATTTCTCTTCTAATATTGGCAGCTCGTGACACTGGAAAAAACTTTTCAAGAAACAATCTTACCATTTCATTCCATGTGGTTATCGAGCGAGAAGGAAGGTAAAATAACCAATCCTTTGCTCTATCGGCTAGTGAGAATGGGAAGGCACGCAGTTTGGTTTGATCCTCCGTTACTCCTTGGGGTTTGAAGCTCGAACACACCACGTGGAACTCCTTTAGGTGCTTATGTGCATTTTCATTTTCAAGTCCACGAAAAGTTGGAAGTAATTGAATCAAACCTGACCGTAATTCAAAACCAACCTCTAAAGCAGGATGTTGAATACAAAGTGGTTGTTGATTAACATTTGGTGCAGAAAGCTGCCGCAACGTTCTTTGTTCTTTGGCCATTTCTTGTTCTACTTCAGGATCGCAACAAGAGGCAGTTGATTCAGTTGTGGTATTTGATTGAAGGGATGTTGATGAAAGGGCTTGATTCTTGCGCACTTTAGTCTCCTTCCTCAACCTCTTTGCAGTCTTCTCGATCTCAGGATCGAATTGCAATTGACCTGTACGAGAAGATCGCGGCATAAAAAATAAATCTATTTAACACCAATCCCCGGCAACGGCGCCAAATATTTGATGGGTGTCGAAACCAACAAATAATAAATTACTTACTCTATAATTTGCGATAGTGATGAGTAAGGTCGTACCCACAAAGATTGGTCAGACTTATTTTTAAAGATTTATTAAAAGAAAGAGATGATAATTGGAAATTAAATAGCAACCATAAAAAGGCAAACAATATGAAATGTCAAATAATAATAATAATGAATAGAAACTAGTGTCCAACTCATGGAATAATACCAATTTAATTCTAACAAGACAGACCATTGATTTCCAAAAATAAATTACTCTACTCTTTACCAAATTGGTTATGGTTATTAACAAGCTCTGATAACCTATCTTTCCTTACTTTGTCGATAATCAAAACAAGCTCTTTGATTACTTCCCTAGTTAATAAACAATCTTAAATAGGCTCTTAAGATTTAATTTACTAACAACATTAAAAGAATTAGAAAGATTACCAATTCTAGCCAACAAACTCAAAAGCATGGTTCATTTAAACTAGACTATATATCTTCATAACACAAAATTGAAAATCCATGTATAATCAAATTGTGCTATTTGTTACCAATTTTAGAACACTTAAACAATTACGGATTCAAGGTTCTAATTAGCAACTTAATGACTTGACAATTGAACAATGGTCCCGTTGCAACAATTAATCAAGCAATAATTAAAATTCATATAACAGGAGATATATAAATAATAAAGTGCAAAGAATAAAATTAAGCTAAATAAATCTCAATGGTCTTGTAGAATCAAACTTCAATAATCCTTGAGTTGGAAAATCAATACTCAGCAGTACATTGCAAAGAGTGCTTACAGTAAAATAAAGTGATTCTGAAAAACTAACTATGCTATACTGTAAAATTCAGCACTATTTATACTAGTTCAGGCTCCCTAATCAGCTCAAAATAGCCCTAATTTCACTAACATCCACAAATTAATTACACCTCTTTCAACCACATAAAACAAAAAAAAAAAAATAAATCATCTTTATTTTCCTAATTTCTAAGAAACCATAGAAAATCAGTAGAACAAGCTCCAACCTCTAATTCAATTAACTTCGTGGCCACAGAAAGAGTCTTCGGCAGTCTCTCGGACGGAGTCTTCAGCAATCTCTCGGACGGAGTCTTCTTCAGTTTGTCTCCTTGCCAATGTCGCCGTGATGTCTACGTACGCTAGAGAAACAAAAGAAAGGAAAATAACATTAATGAGACTTGGACTGCTGACTTTACAAAACAAATAAACTAATTGGGCCACTAATTAAAACAAACAAAAAAAATGAAAGAAAAGATTTAGGTTGGCCCAAATCAATTAAAACAATAAAAAGGAATTCTAGTCCAAATAAACAATTAAGCCTAATTATTCAATAATTATTATATTAGTACAAAATATAAAATAAAGTTTAAAATAAATTAATATTAAATAAATAAAATTGATTTATTATAAAAAATAATCTAAATAAAATATAAAAATAGTGCTTATCACCTGTGGGCTAAATTTCATCATATTACATACAATTAATCACAAATGATATGTCCAAAACTTTATGTGATCAAAATAAACCGCTTAATATATAATTTTAACAGATTAAGGATGTTGTGGCTACTCCAAAACCAAATTAAAATTATAAGATCACTAGACAATTATCAATACCTTGCATAACCTATATAATTTTAACTGATTAAGGATGTTGTGGCTACTCCCTAACCAAATTAAAATTATAAGGTCATAACTTAATAATCTTAGGTAGTTGAATATGCTGTGGCTATTCCTTAATTAACTAAGATTGAAAACTTATGAGATACTTCAATAAATTAAGGATGCTTTGGCTATTCTTTAATGAATTGAAATAAAATCACATTGGCAAGAAATACTTAAAATTTTGGCAAATTATACCAGATTGTGATGAGAAAAACTAAATATACTCCCAGAAAAAGTGGTTAGAGACTAAGTCTCACTGAAAACCAACTCCTTAGATAAAGTATCAATATAAGGAGACCAGTGACACAAGATGTTCTTAAGTCACGGCTACTAAAACTAGTATGCCTCTCCGATTCATATACACTTAATGTATAACTGTCTGGGGTATAAACTGAAAAAAGAACTGTAGGGTATAATCCAAAAAATCTATGGTTCACCTATGATTAAAGCCCAAATTGGTGAACTAAATTAACGGCTTAAACGTGCTTAAATTCAGGCACTACCGCAACTAAAGTTTATGCATAAGTCCAACTTAAATAGGAACTAATATAATTCCATCCCAAAGTATGCATTGCTAAAGGCATAATAAAATTGCATAATTTAAAACAGAATATTATGCTTAGGACAAATATGCATTAAATTAAACATTAAACTCATATATTCCAAATAAATTGCATAACTTAAAAACAAATTTACAATATGAGATTTCAAAGTATAAACTTAATATTCAAATACCAATGAGTCCAAACCAAAAGAGACCCAACACTTTGAATAATAATGTACTGAATATATACTTTCTGTAAGCCCATGGTAAAATGTTTTAATGCATAAAGATCAAATTTATGATAAATAACTAAATTTACAAATTCAAACAATATCAAACCAAAAGGATATGCTATCATTTGTAAATTAATGTGTCACAAATCTTAATTGCATAATTAAACTTAATATTATGCACTTAATGTGATTGAATGCATAAAACTATCTAGAGACTATAAACCAGAGTTTAATGAGTAAATACCAGCCAAGGTCCCTCGAGTTTGGTGGTTTCACCACCTATAGTCCCTAACTTCCGTAATTACCATCCGTGATCCTCCGAATTGCGAAACCTGACCAGTTGACATCCTCCCGTTAGTTCCTTCTGTCTAAGGTGTCAAAAGTGGGGGTAAATATGTCATTTTCCATAAAATACCTTCATTGGCTCCATTTTTGGGAAATCAAGAACCCACACGCACCCCTTCCGTCTCCACCTTCAATGGCATTACCGTCCAGTGATTTAACTCGAACTGCGTGGAGAGACGAACAGGAAAGGTCGTCGTCGCCGTGGCGGGTGCGACAGCGACAGCTGCTGGAAGCGGAGGAGGACTCTGTGGATATGGAGAGAGGTTCGCCTTTGAAGTATGTCTCACTATGTGACGTCTACTCGGCAACCTCCCTTTGCGTCAGGGCCAACGGATCGAAGAAAGTCAAGGCCTCTCGCAAAATCACAACTTTTGACATCCTGCAGCTAAGCAATTCGTTCCGGCGGCACCTACCAATTATATAAAAATGTGGAAGCCCCCTATTACGCAGTTCTACACGCGCCGCTGCAAGAGGAAGCAATCCGAGCCCTCTTTTTTCAACTCTCTTACTTTGCCCCTGCAACCAATTGTTGTAAAATTGGACAATGTGGTGGTAAAGAATGAAGTAGAAGAGGGAACAGAAGATGCGATTGTTGCAAAGGATAAGAATTATGATTCAAAGAAAAGGAGAAAAGTGGGGAGCTTGAAATTGGTGGTGGATGTGAATACAATTAGCAGTGGCCTTAATGGGTTAAGGGAAACCCGGAATAATAAGGATCAATTTTCAATCTGGGCAAATTCATTGCAAAAAATGGGTTTGTTATGAGCACCCCTTCCTTGTATTTATCATTTTATTATTTTGTGGGTGGCCAATTTTTGAACTTTTTGGTCATCAAATATGGGATTGTATTCTTGATTGAGGTCTAGTGGGTGGATTGCCCACACCCATTTCTTGGCCGCCAGGCAACAAGGGGAAGAGAGAGGTAGATCTGGGAAATGCTTTCACTTTTTCGCAGGAAGAACGTCGTCATTTTCTTGGTGTTTTTGCATTAGAATGAACCTTTTGAGAGGTGGTAATGCTTCAAGTTTGCCCCCATTAGAATTGCAGAAATGATGGAATTGGAGAATGGAAAACACTGTAAGTGTGTGCGGTTTCAATTCAGGACTGGGATGAGATAAAAAAGAAGAAGATTTTTAATGGATTTCATGCTAAGATTCGAAGGAGTTGATCCATAGCGGCGCCTTCCACCGCCGCAACCTTGGCGGACAGAGCTAGAGGAGGAGTCTAGAAATGGACTCAATGAAGAAATTCTGTGATTTTTAATTTCTGAATGTTTTATTATATAGCAAATGACATATTTATCCCCTCTTTTAACGGCTTAAACGGAAGGAACTAACGGGAGGATGTCAACTGGTCAGGTTTCGCAACTCGGAGGACCACAGATGGTAATTACGAAAGTTAGGGACCATAGGTGGTGAAACCACCAAACTCGAGGGACCTTAGCTGGTATTTACTCCTATAAACCAACTAAAGAGCATGAATTTTTAACAAATGTTCAGTTATTCATGCTTAACCAAATATGGGCAATAAAGAACTAAAATCATAATTCAAAGAACTAAATGAATTATGGAATTAAAAGCAATAGTCAAATGCCTAGCAAACATGTTTTTCCAAAATTACTAAATAAATTTAGAATCACTCTCCATAACCCAGTTAATAATATTATTATTATTAATGGCACAATTGCAAATAACCAAAATAGCAATAAATAACCATAATAATATTATCATATTAAGTAGGAGACTAAATACGGAAAAACAATTGTAAAACCGCTAACATTTATAAACGTTTTCGGATATAATTTTGAAAAATTAATAAACTTTGAAGTCCGGAAAATTTTAATATCAAGATAATTATCTCTATACTGGAATATTGTCACATAAATTTATTTGGAAACAGTTCAAGATGCATAACTGAATACCATAACAGTATTAATGTCATCATTAATTAATTAATAATAGTAATAGGTAACATCATGATCACTATTAACATTAATAATAATGACAAATCAAAGTATGGTAATGCACCTTTTAATGTTTCCATTTGTGAAGATAAATATGTTACTAGTCCAAATTAGCGATTAACTGTAACTGTAGCACTATTATCAATAACAACCATAAAAGATAATTAATGAC